TCCTTATCCAGTCTATCTCATCAACGGTAGTCACGGTAATCTGTATGTTTGATTCCGACAAGAGAATTATTGAGACATGGCGAAGCATACCCTGCGGACGTTCGGAGGTCCGGATCTTCCCCTGGTCTCCTCCAAAACAATAACGACTAGAGGAAAAAAGGGACCAATTAATGTCGGACCATTATTGGGTCGAGTTTCGTCATATGCCCATTGAAATCCAAAGGGCCTTAATGCAAAAACTAGCTCAAAAATATGAGATTGTTGATTTCATCGACCCCCCCCCCCCACGTGGCCCAACATGATTATTATCTCATGGTAGCCCTCGATCTACCGACATGTCACATTTTTACCATCGATGATGTGATTCTCTTTCGAGTAGGAGGGAGGGACTTCCGTATTTACACGACGCACAAAACGAGACTTAGGTGCTTTAAATGCCAGGCATACGGCCACCTCCCGATGGAATTTGACTGCCCCTACCATCCGGCCAAAAGGATCAGAGTCACAGGACGCCTGCTACGCGACCTCTTCAAAGACACTTGGTGGAGAACGGTCGATGCCGGACACGAAAGATGGGTGTACAAGGATGAGCCACGAGAGGGACGTGGAGTGAGGAGTTGGGAATGGGAAAAAGGGGAAGCCGTAGAGTGGAACACCAAACCTCCAGAGTCCAGACCAATGGACGCCCCCCAAACCGGTGGAGGCACACATGGACAAAACTGTCAACCTCCCCTCCAAGGAAACGGAGACATGGGAGGCCGGAACTAAACCCTGACCTGAGGACTTAATCACTCCATCATATCTAGGGGAACTGTGGCAGCCCCTGACCCTGAAAAAAAAAACCCACCTCGGCAAGCACGAAAAAGTACAGAACCAAAGCAAAAAAGGCAGCCCCAAAAAATCAGAGATCAAATTTCAGGCTATAGCGAGCACATTAGACAAACAGACAACAGAGCAGCGGTCCAAGGAAGTGGGGCACAACGAGCTAACCGGAGGGGAGGGGAAAAGCATAACACAAGAAAGAGTGAAACTCCCCGCTGAGGGCAATCACGAACAGAGGGACAAGGGGCGAGACGGGGGGGGGGAGGAGGGGAGGGGGAAAAGGAAAAGTAAGGGTATACCTCGCAAGTGAACCCTTCCGGGGTCTCCCCTATTACAGGGGAAACACCCTCCATCACGGACCGATTCCTTCAGGTGTTTGGACCCCAACCCATGGATTGGGAATCACCCGGGGGCCCCCCTGATGAGGAAATGATGGACAGCACACCCGAGGCTTGGGGGTCACAAGGGGAGGAGGATGTCGAGCCCAAGTTAAGAGGCCTGGCGGAATGACTAATTAGCCATCTCCAAACATTGTACGCAGGTCAGTCAGAGTCATGCTGGGAGGAGGCCTATATAAAGTTGTTTTCCCTACTAGACGAGAGCCCCAGTCCAAAACACGCCTTGGGGCAAGGCCTATCCCCGGACATGGATTAGCAACAGGTGTTGTACAGAGTTTGAAAGTTCAGGAACATTGTGCACCAAAAGTTTCAGCCCCCTGAAACGGTACACTTACCAGACCTATCCGAAGAAACAACAAAGTCAGGTCAAGGAGACAGGTCACAAGATCTGTATGAAGGCACAACCAATTCAGGCCACACAACCACCCCCTCCCCCCTCCCCCCTGATAGTACACAACCGACCATGCACACAGAACAAACTTTACAAGGGGAGGATGAGGTTGCAAAGAAAGCAGAGGAAACATGACTCTCGAAACGATCAAAAATATGACACCTCATCCAAAAAGGGCTATACCACAAAAGCCTGCCGAAAGGTGATAAAGTATTGGTACTTCCAATCAAGAGGAAGATAGGAAAATGCGAACTTGGCCTGTCACCCGCTGACGCGAAAGACTCATACGCCCTGTCCTACAGAGGGATGGCATTGCACGGTTGGTACATGAAAAGGGCGGGGGCACTACGGTTCCATGAGGTCACAAAATTTATCACAAACCATTATGAACCAGGGGCAATGGCCACCATTAGCATGTCATCAGAAAACTTGAAGATGGCCTACAAAGATCTCTACGTACGATTCGAGGACAACAAGGAAGCAGGGTTGCAATGGCTCTCACACAGCTCGCTTCTGGACACCCAACAATTAAAAATCAAACCTAGTAACATTTGGTCGACGAACGACCTATTCACCTGTGTATGCACAATATTGAGGAAGAACATCTTCAACAAGGGAGTTAACTGGGAAACACAGGAATGGTCACTGTTACAAATCAGGTAGTGGGAGGGGTAAGGGGACACGTGATACATAATGGACTAGGTGGAAGTGGTGTGTGGTAAAAACAAAAAATGGAAACTCACTCTCCAGCAGGCACATTTGAACATTCGATCGATTAATGTCCACAGTCTAGCATCTTACAACCTGGAAAAAAATAACGCCTTGTCGGACCTCATGAGGGGGGTGGGGGGAAGAACATGGTCAAACGTAATTTGTGTCAAAGAAACACATCTAATGGACATACCACAACACCTTCGGACGCACAAGCAAGTTTGGCCTTACCAAGGATACTAAGCTTTTGGCCCCAGCCCAGGGAGTATCGGGGTGGCTATATCGATCCCGCCCGAATCACTCTTAGAAGTTCTGAACTGGGATCAGGATAAGGTGGACGGACGATGGGTCAAAGTGTTGGTTATGCTAGAGTTAAAATTAGTATGCATTGTATCCAATTACACTCCCAACACTCCCTGCGAGAGAAGGATTTTTTTCGAAAAAAATGAAATGATCCCCACCCCAGACATTCCAATCATCTAGCAGGAGATTTCAATGTCGCGCCGGACAAATGTTTAGACCGATGGAGAACCTCTCCCACCATTGTATACAACATGGAGGAGGACGAGAGGATGCTAAGGGACTTGTGTGCTTCCCTTTCGCTCTTTGATACCTTTAGGTGTAGTCACCCGACTCAGAAGACATTTACTTGCTTACGCAACAATAACCCCGACAGACTGTCAAGAACCATAATCGATCTAATCCTGGCATCGGAGGACGGGCTCCCCTTGGCAGCAATACTCCCACCTAGCCCGCACCCGGGGCTGGACCACAGGATGTGTAGCGGACCGACCAGGTGTGGTGCTCCGCTAGTGACAGAGATGGAGATGGAGGAAGAAGGGGGGAGCAAGATGGCACAACGCAGCTCCCCACGCAAGTCTCCAACGCACGTACTTCAAAATGTGCAAGTAAGGAATGAGACTGAAAACAGACAATGGCAGGGGTATACCCCAGCGGACTGACGGGACTGGACTGGACTGGACTGGCTGGTACCGACAGAGGKACCGGCCTAGACTGGCCTACCCCGAATATAACACAGGCCTATGAGAACAGGCCAAGGGGCTGGTCTCACAGGCCAACCCGCTACACGATCCTCGGCCTGTGATGGATCGCCTAGATACAAACATGCTTCCGCCAAGAAGCGGAACTCTACCAAAGAAAAGAAAACCTGAGTAGTCTAGGATGCGGAGCAAGCTCCATGCTGAGTCCATGCGATGCAACCTAGGATATAAAATGTCACAAAACAGCAATGTCACAGCTAACAGCCTAAGTGAAAGTAGGAGCAACTAACGAACATACATGTCCTAGGAAAGCAAAAAGTAGTGGCAACTAGATCCTAGAATGTTGGAGGCACTAGCCTCAGTCTGGTAACAACTGACTAGTGTATAAGTCCTAAGAATATCAAAAGCATAACAACTAAATCCTAGAAATGTCTGAGGCAGTAGCCTCAGTCTGAGAGCAACAAAGTAATCAACAAGACAACCATATGTCACATGAGAAGTGTGTCGCACACCAAAGGGTGGGATGGTCTCTGAGGGTGGCGAACGCAGCCTAGGGGTTGAAAACTCCTAAGGGCATCCACACATAGTGACAGGGGAAAACGCATGTCATCAGGCTCAATGAGGGTAGGGAACTGGGAGCGAACAGAACCAATGACCCTAACARATAGACCATCARGGCGGGTAATGCTCGGCTAAGGGGTGACCGCTATGGAGGGTCGRCCATGCAAGGGAACAAGGGAGCCTGGTATACTGGGTGCACCTAGATGAAGCATGCGGGGCTGCCTAACTAGGGCKTGAGGGCCGACGAAGGGTAGAAAGATGATGGGTAAGGGAATCATGCAAATGACTCCTAAAGTGAGGGAAGTCGGAGCTAGATCCGTAAGATGGGAAGCCAGGGCAACGCTACGGTCCCGATGCCTATGCGTATACCAAGGGAGAGCCCAACTCAGAG